AAGTGAAGTATTAAAAACTTTAGCATAGGCACAACAGACCAAATAACCAAAATTATCTAAGAGAAATGGATTCTGTGACGAGACTATACTGGAAACGATAATGGTCAAGGGAAACAAAGACTGTTTCATTTGGAGGTGAACAGCTGAAGCAAACTGAAGTGGGGAGGCTGTGCCAGCGATATCCAGTTTCCGGTGGTGGGAGTAACTGGATGTTACTTCATCCCTAGAACTAGGTCCCTCATCTTGACAAATGGAGCTTCCTCTTGATTTCAATTACATTTCCCAAAGGCTAAGATTATAGAAAGGAAGCACGCTGGTAATGCTAAAGAGCTACTGACTGCACTTGACATATACTTCTTATCATAAATTAACATGTAAGGAGTTTGGCTTTATAGATCAATAGAATTATATTAGTGAGTCAGCATTCCTGAGCACAGATCAGGGTAATTTAATTCCCTGGAAGGAACTTGCCAGGGAGGCTGAGTAGCCTTTCCCAGGGAACACCCTCCTCTTTGCCCAGACATCTACCAAAGCAAGGAGGCTTTATCACACTTAATGTCCATTTGACTGAGCTTCTCAAGGTTAAGGACTGCATTTCTTACTGTGCCTGCAGAGCAGCAGCCTGCAAGTTGCTTAACATGGTGTGATCTGGGTGCTAACTGGGAAGTTACAGGGAGAAACTTCAATGAGAAAGAGGAGTGCACAATTCAAATTAAAGAACCAGGAACACATTCAGTTTGGTATAAAAATCACTGCCAACACATAAATGAAACATTTTGTAACTTTGTTAGTTGCCAGCTCATGAGAGCCCATGTACACAACTGAAGGAAACATTGCCTGTTCCTGTGTTACCTTTATTATCCATCACTGGTGTCTTTGTATCCATTTTTTGTGACCACTGTGTATTCTGAGGGTCTTCCTGTAACATTTGTGTTAATCTTCAGCACTGAATTGTCATGGGCTAATATTCAAGTTTATCAGCAGGTCTCTTGTCTAGGAACTCTATTGCCCAGTGGGAGTATGAAGCTTCCAGCATCACAGCAGCCACACAAACAATTGATATTTGTTGTTAGGTGCTACTGAGTTAGAATTGACCCACAGCTGACTTTCCAGCAGGTTTTCAAAAGCATATTGCACAGGAAGAGATTGTCCGTCTATCTTTCTTCCAAGGAGTCAAAGGTGAATTCAAACTGTGTGCTTTTGGGTTGACAACGCAGCTCATCACTAGGCCACCAGAGCTCCTCAGATGGTCTCCAATATTCTGCAGTCCATTTTTCAAGTACTAAGATGAAACACTGTGTAAACTGTACACCTCCTAAATGGTCTTGCTTAACAACCCAGATAAGGCACCTGGTTACCCTTCATTATTGTTTTCCTATGACTATATACACCACAATGGCAGACATCTCCTTTCCCTAGTTTGGAAATACATTCCTATTCCCGTTAAGGGAGCTCACTCTGATGGCCTAGTCCACAAGTTGTGCTGCTAACCTAAAAGCTGTACGCCTTTGGCATTTCAAACCTCTAGCTGCTCTGAGGGAGAAATATAGGCAGTTCCCTCTTGGTTTCCCTCAGAAAACAGCTGGGGGGAGGTCACTATTGACTTGATGGCAGTTTCTGAGTGAGAATAGTGGCTGGCACTCAGCAGGCACTCTAGCAAACATAGACAATTGCCAAGAAAGCACATTCTTTAAAAACACTGCATTAAAAAAAAGACACAAAACAACACAACAAACCAACCACAACAAAAAAAAACCCAAACCCAAAACCACCACCACCACTGCTTTGAAAGAAAAGTTATTCATGAGATCAGAACTAGATGGTTCCCTGCTACCAATTCCAAACTACTGTGTTCAAGGGCACAACAGAAGGTTCTGTACAGAATGGAGAAAATGGTAGGGGGAAAAAGTCAATCATTTAAAAAAATAATGAAACTCCAAATAAAAAAAACCTTACTGAACTGATAGATTGGCTCTAAGATACCCTTCAAACCTTGAGCTACACTCACTCCCAGACATTCCCTTTCAAATAGACCTATGAACTGTAACACTTCTAAGACTTAAGCTTCTTAGGATAATGAACCATGCAAAACCAAAAAAGCAGTATTTGCCCAAAAACAAAGTTCAGAAGACAGGAAGAGGATGGGGTAGATAGAGGAATGAAATGAGAAACTGATGAAGTGGGATGAGTTGTTTTGAGATGGCAACTAATATCCCTCAACAAAATGTGTATAAATTGAATAGGAAACTAATTTGCTGTCAACTTTTACCCAAACAGAAAAGTTCAAAAAAGGGGAAGTTGTTCATTAACTTCCTGCAGGGTAGTAATTTTATAAATTCCGTTTTCATTTGCAAATTGCATCACTGTTCAACCTGAGGTGTAACTTCTTTGGGAATGGAAATTAGGGCAAGTGGATCACCAACCGAATCAAGTATCTATCAATGTATTAATACTACATTACAGAGATTAGTAAACTTTTTCTGTGGTTCATACTATTTCTGTTAACACCTATGCAACTCTGCGGTTGCAGTGTGAAAGCAGCCACAGCCAATACTGCAAATGAATAGGCTTGGCAGTGTTCTAATAAAATCTTGATTTCTGAAAACAGGCTACAGTTCACAGACCTGTTATAAGAAAAAACAGCCCATCAACAAACGAATGGATAGAGAAGCTGTAGTATATTCACACAATGGAATACTATGTAGCACTGAAAAATAAGGAACTCATGAAATCTACTAAATGGGTGACCGTGGAGGATATTATGCTGAGTGAAAGATCTGTCACAAAAAGACAACTACTACATAGTGCCACTGTTGTAAAACAAGACTGACATTGGGGTTGGGGGTAGATGGAAAAAGATGGGATAAATTATGTATACTACATTGAAACAGATGGAGAACTGTTTAAAAGGGAGATATGATTAGGTATTACTGTCCAGAATGAAGGCTGCATAGTGGAGTGGACTTGGAGGAAGGGAATTGTACTAACAATTAAAGAATTTTACTTTTCAAAGAGAAGAGACAACTGGGGGGGTGGGAGGCTGGGCAGGGAGAAAAGTGCAACAATGAATGAGTGGAAATCCAAAGTCTGTAAACTTTCATTAAAATTAATAAAAAAGGGCGAGCTCTGGTGACCCAGTGGCAAGAAGCTGCACTGCAATCCCAGAGGTGCGTGGTTTGAATCCACTAGATGCTCTGCTGAAGGAGGGAGTCTCCTCCTGTACCAGTCAGATCTGATTTGATGGTACACACAAAAAAATAAAAAAAATTTAAAAACCCCAAAATCTAATAATCTTTATCAATTAGCTTCCATTTTACAGATTAGGTAACTATGGCCCAGAAAAGTTCATTAACTTGGGAAAAGGACACATAGCAAATTAGTACAGAACAGAAATGAAATTCTCGAGCTTTAGAACATTGAAAGCCCATTCTTAACTAAAAGATTCACAGTATTTGTAGTCTTTGGCCCAAATCCTTGTGCTCCCTAATCTTCTTCCTCTTGAGGAGCTCTCACCAGTCACTGCCCAAGGAGCATAGCATAGCTGGGGTACTGGGAATAGGTGTGCCGGAGACAGTGAGATTAGCTCAGGATAGGGCAGGGTTCAGAGGTCTTGTGCACAGGATCGCTAGGAGTCCCAGTTGACTCAAGGGCACATAACAAGGGGCATTGATGTCTTTATTCTTCTTATCTAGGCACAGAAAATTACTTCTTTCTTATCCAAAATCTAAGACTTTACAAAAACTGGGTTAACAAAAGACATAAAGAGATTTTTAAGTTAGTTTATTAATAGTCATTCTGAGATTACGTAGACCTTCGTTTTCCAAAGGATAAACACACTTCCCTACCTGGCATGGCCACTAACAACATGGTCTGTTTCCAGGTCCCCATTTTCCACCTTTGGAAATGGGGGTGGGGGAAGTAGAAGTCCCTTCAGAAGCTATTTCAACCCCTAGTCACACAGTAGGGAGCCCTGGTGGCCCAGTGTTTGTAGCTGCACTACAAGTCTGATGATATGCTGTTTAAATCCACTAACTGCTATGGGGGGAAAAGATCTTGTGTGATTAACTGCCTCTTGAAAATCTGTTGGAGGGTCAGCTATGGGTTAGTTCCAACTCTATGGTAAAAACAAGTCACAACAGTTTATTTATTTATCTGGTAGCCCTATATCGTAATACAAAAAACCCCAATAATTCTGGGCTCAGTGAGATGTCATTTTCAATAAGGAAAATTTTTATTGAAAATGGCTACTTGTTGTCAGAATTAGTAGGAATGAGATGAAAATGTCAGTAACGAAAGAACAAAACCATACAAATCCTTTAATAAGAGGGCAGCGAGGCAGTGTCCCTCACTTCTGCCCAAGTCTTCTACTTCTGATGGTCCCAACACCTGTTCTTCCCTTGTTTTAGTGGGATCATCTCATTGCATGGCTACTGGGTTTTTTTTTTTAAATGTTAAGCATTCTTTATTTGATATCATACACAAACCACATTGAAATGCTTTTTGTTATGTAAAAGGCAACATTTTAGATACAGGGAGTTTGCATTCAATTAACATAGTCAAGAGCAAATAGTCTTTGCTACTTCATCTGCAGCCCTTACATTTAAAGAGGCTGATAAAACAGAAACTGAAGCAGGTGAGTGGTATTCTGTTCCATGTGACAGTAGAGACATCCTAGTATTTAAATAACATTCATATAATCATTATAGAAATCTAAATATAAAAGCCATCTCCTATAGATCATGAGGTGACATCAACCATCTCTGTTCAAAACTGATCCAACTAAACCTAAAGTACAGTCATCTCCTTGGAAGGGAAAAGTATTGACTATATTAATTTAAACAAAGCCAATCTTACTGAATGTAGGACCATCTAACAAAAACATCCTATCAGCCATTCATGATCTAAATTCTAGTATTAAATAAATTTAAATATGGTACATGTAAAAAAAAAAGTCACAGGAACTTTCTATTTTGTAATAAATAAGACAGTGGCCAACTATGTTACTCACTGGTAGCTTTCTTGATATAAGCTATCAATTCTGCCCTTTCTGTCTTCTTCTTAATGCCAGGAAAGATCATTTTTGTTCCAGGAATTTGAGAATTCTCCAGATACTTCATCAGTGTATCCTCTCCCCAAGTGATACCTTTGTTCTTACTAGCATCTGTGTAAAAGAATCCAGGAGCTTGACCAGTCTTCTGCCCATATTCCCCCAGGTTTGCCCCAATCTTGTGCTCACCCCCTTTTTCCACGGTGTGGCACTGGGCACACTTCTGCACAAACATTTTCTTGCCCTTCTCAACATCACCCATTTTGAAGTCAGTCAGTAGTCCGGCACAATTCCAAGTTAAAAACTCAGGAGCCGACGTCCCTGACGCTCATGACTACTCTTAGTAGCATTGCTCACTGCTATGTTCTTTAAGGAACAAGTAACTCCCCTTGAAAAACTGAGGTAAAGGAATTCTTTAATAAATCTACTGCTGGGCTTTTAAAAAGGTTTGTAAATCGTCAATGTAATCATATTTAACTGGGAAAATGGTTATAGAAGTATCAATAAATTTTCATTAACAAACATTATCACTATAGTAAAAAGGCAAGGTAAACAAATAGCTTAAGTATTTTATTGTTTGCAACTAAGCTTGTTAACACTATATCATGAAAATGTACAAAGAATAATGTTGCAGTTTTTGGTTAGATTTAAGTCAAAGACATTCATTAATAAGGAATCTTCGAATGTGAATATTCCAGAAATTTCTCTAAGCCATCTGATCTGAACAATGGTCTCTGGATATTACCTTACTTTGGAAGGTATTGGCATATATTTGAATTAAACTCAGTTTTCAAAATAAGCCCTAATTTAAAAAAAAAAAACCAACTAGTCTATATTCAAACTAAACTAAAACAATTTTAATAGAACTTTCCTTTCCAGAAACAATAAATGAAACAAGGCATTTTGTAAAATGTGGTCCTGAACAAGTCACAGTAAGAAATAAATGTTTACGTAACTTCCACCTCCTCAAAACAGAGGTTACTTTCTGTTCTTTAGCCTTGGGCACAAGGTGAAGAACAGCTTGTAAGCAACTTTGGGCAGGAGGTTGCCAAAACAAAGCTCAAGCAGTTGAAGTTGAACATGGACAGCTTTGAAAAGAATTTGGGAGAACTTGACCCAAGGATCCAAATTCTATTTGCAATGACAGATAAATGGTGAAGTGGCTCCTCCCAAGTAGCAGTGTTGCTGGGCCAGGCCCAGTTCTGTGCTCACCTATGCTCCCAAGTAAACCCTGATGCTCTTGCTCTGGGAGAGATCTTTTCCTTAGGAGGTTCAGTGTCCAGGGAGCCAATTGTGTGGATGAGGTGAGCGCAGACTCCATATGGGTATTTTAAGGCTTGGAGTCTTAAGTATTTTTCTAACACAGCTAATCAGAGTCCATGTGTCAAATGGCCAATCTCCAGTTTAATTCCTCACCTCATCTGCAGACCTAGGAATGCAGACTTTTGCTGTATCATCATAATCACATCTAATGTCCATCCTAACTTATGATTCATATTCTGTGCCTGGAAACAGTCCCTGTATTTAACAATAATACCTATACATAAAACAATCTACTGTTACAACTTATATGGTCACAAACATTAATGATCTTCTGTAGATCAAGCAAATGTTTTTAACCATAATTGTCGTGCATCAAATTCACAGCCAGGATCCCCAAGATCAAAAAATCTGCACAATACAAATAATAACTTAAGATACACACACATACATATACACACATTCTCACACACACTTCTTACAGAACTGTGCTTGGGGAAACTCCATTTGTTGAGGGCCACTGAAGGCATATTTTGCTAAACTGCTGCTCCAGGTATTTTGTTTGGAAAATCTATCACAGTAGGGCACAGCTGTTTATTGGATGAGCAGAAAAGAAAGATATGCTTGTGGCAACCAGAAAGTTCCAAGGTCTTTCAAGTTGTATAAAAATGGACCCGCAGAAACATTGAAGTGTTCTCAGGATGCAAAGTTGGAGCTGAAATGGGGTATCAAACCAGTTGCAAAAAGTGTACAGCAGCCATCTCTTGAGGTTAAACCTGGTACCCAGATAGGCAAGAAAGCCTCAGGACACATCTACAAGGAATTCAGAATAATATTAAAAAAGAATTAGTAACAGTTGAAAATACAAAGAAATGTCACTTTTTCTACATTAAGTAGTAATAAATGTGAATGAATAACATGGAAGGTATAAATCACCACTGTAAAAAGTAAACCAAAAGAATCTCTGAAAATCTGACCTAGGTTTCACTTTTTGATATATAGCTATTTATAATTTATGCTTTGTGCAACTGGTTGTAGAATGTTTAGAATAAAGAAATCCTAATTACACATCTGATAATTACCTCCAGGAATCACTTTTCATAAATTAACAACAGAAATCATCTTTCTAGAGGAGAGTAATAAATAAACCACCATCAGAGTACGTAGGTTCTAATCCTAGCTGAACCACTGCTATCCTTACTTTTAAAATGGGACCAGTAACAGTTCTCCTTCCTCATGGTTACTCTGAGGATTAAAGAAGCTGTAGAGAAGATGTTAAAGGTTTAGTACAGTAACTAGCTATTCTTTCACTTCAATGCACTTTTGCACTTAGCAGACAGGAAAATCAGTATCAAAATCTTGTTCTTGGAACGTAAAAAATGCAAAGAAAATTTTGGCAGTACTTACAGCTTGCTGGCCTTGTCCCGTACCGTCGCATAATCTGATCATTTGTGAAATTCACAAAAGATTCATATTGTTCTGTGAAAAGAAAGGGAAAAAAAAATAAATTACCAACCAAAGTCTCTCAATTTTCCACAAACCAAGTATGGGGTCATTTCCAGTTTCCCAGTCTTAAAACTCTTCTCAAATAATCATTACAAAGGCCACTCTGATATATGAAGCCTTCTTCTTAGATCCCTATAGCAAACTCTGGCTCCTAAATTTCAAACAGTTTGAAATTTTAAGTAGATTCATCAACATTTTACAGAACTATATTATAGTAGTCTTCAGATTAGGAAATAATACTATTAGAGGAAGAAGTGGTTGCCTTAAGTGTCCCTGATCATAACATTGGCCTCTTTCAATAAATAGGTATTATTTTCTATTTCTGATTCAGATAGATCCCTTCCTTTCATATAAAGCTCACTATTCTGGCCTGAGCTGGGCTTTCCTTTCTTTACTGCATTGTACCACCCAGATTCACAGGATGCCTGACCTCCCACATCCAAAAATTGACTCCTACCAGAAGTTTTAATTTGTTGACTCCAATACCCATAGCCAGCCACCTGTTGGCAAGTTAGCACCATCCCAGCCACCTGTTTACCCAGCAGCTGGCCCAAATGACTAACTGAATGCCTTTATTCATGTGAAATAAAGTTCGTTTTTTCTGTTTAAGCAATAAAAATCTTTTCCATATAACAAATGTAGTATCTACAATCACCAAAAAGAACACCTTCAACGAGCATCATTTATTAAGGCAACTAAATAGCTATTTAATAATTAACTGGGGTTAATCCTTATTAAATGCTATTAACAAAAGCAAAATCACTGCCTTATCCTACCTGCTAGTTTGGTGTTGAGGATTTGCTCATATTCCTCTCGAATTTTATCTTCATAGTCTTTTAAGAAACGCTCACATATTATTCCAACTTGTCGGAGGGTAAAGGTGGGCTGGTCCTTCTTGAACCAGGAAGAACCTAGTCAAAAGATAACTCTAATTTACATAATATATTTTAGTTCTATGGTTCAGAATTAACAACTCAGTGCAAATACTCCTTAGTATAGACACTTTTAGAAAATTGCTACTTCTCTGCTGGAGAAGGGGGGAGCAATCTCCTCCTGTACCAGTCAGATCTGATTTGACGGTACACGTAAAGAATAATATAATAAAAATAAAAAAAATTAACAAGAAAATTGTTACTTTTTATTCTTTCATATGGAATCAACATAAATTCAAAACTTAAGGAACTGGAACGGTTTCATAGCTGACCCTCTAGTGAGTTTCCACAGGCTATAAAATAGCACACCATCTTTCTCCCTTGGAGCTGCTGGTGAAGACACCACTCTGGATTAGAAAAAGTACATTCTATATGCAAGCTACCCAGACCTTTGGAGAGCATCTAGACACTTGTGTTTAATCCAGAAGTTATAGCATAATTATCTGTCAAATAATAATAAAAGATAGAGATTCTGATTTAAAGCTGAGGTAGAACACTGGAATCTTTTAAGTGTCACAGGTGATTCATAGAAGTGAGTTAAAAAAACTCAGATCAATGACTTACACAATTTAAAAACCAACCAAAAAACAACCTAAAACTTGTCAGCAAAGTAATCAACTCTTAGGGTAATCAAGTTAAAAGTTCAAACACATTTACAAGATTTCTTTTTGAAAATTGACTAAACCGTTTCAGGCATCACACTTGATCTAATTTTGATCATTCCGAATCTAGCTTGAGATGAGTAATATATTCCTAAAATAATTCCCAAGATAGTAAAACTAGAAATCTAATTATTCATTGGATACTAGAAAATAGGGATAAAGTCCAACTTTAAGAATCTATAAATATTATAGACAGTGCTGACTAAATACTTATTCTAATTTGTTTCTACTGTCCCTCTCACAGGCCTGGAAAAAATTAAAAACTACTTTCTTGGACTCCTTTGTTGAAATGACCAGGCTGCCAGCATGGTCCTGGAGTTGTCAAATGGAGCAAGAGATTCCACAGGCTTCCTGCTCATGACAGGAAAGCAGTTCTTCTGCTAGCTGGCCATTTCTGCCGTGTTCTTCAAAGCTTAAGCCTACTACAACCTGTTTCTACGGCCCTCTTAGCCAGTCATTTAACACTGTGAAACTAGTAATTTTCTACTCAAACCAAAAGAGTAAAAAATGTTTCTTTAAAATGACATCTGAACAAAAGATCTAGCTAGTCATTACTTCTGTTTTGTGATGTCTTGCTGCCTAGATGACAGGGATATGGCAGATGATTGGTGGCTAAACTATGTGACCATGAATTCATGCAAGTTTTCATGAACAATCTTATCAACCAGAGATCCCATTTTTTAACAATTCCTCTCTGATGAATTGTCAATACAGCAACAAAATAGATTAACAAAACAAAAAAAAAACCTTTCTGCAATGATGGAAATGTCCTTTATCTGTGCTATCCAGTATAACTGTCCCATGTGGCTACTGAGCACCTAAAATGCAGCTATTATGACCAAGAAACTGACTTTACATCTTATTTGCCTTTAATTAATTTGGGGAGCTCTGGTGGCATGGTCTGTGTAAATGCATTGGTAAGCCAAAAACGACATCTCTCTGGCAGTACAAATTCAACTGCTCTGCAGGAGAATGATGGGCAATTTCCCCTCAGGTGATTTACTGCCTCTGAAAACCTGCCGGACGGTCAGCTATTGAACACAAGATGAATTCTGGATTAGGAAATTATCTTTTTAAAGTATCATCTACAAACTCTTGGATGTGTTCTGAACACCAAAGCACACTTACCTGGAGAACTAGGTGCTGTGAGTGCTGAGGATTGGGGCTGACTTTCTGAAGTACAAGCTTCACTCTGATTAAGAACAACTTCTAAATGTCTCCACCTCTGATATCGACTACATTCTTGTTTTATGTTCTGAAAAATTTGCTCTAATAAAAAAAGAAAGAAATTTGGGCATTCACTTATTTTTTCATGCTTCATGAAGTAGAAGGTCTTTTGATTAGATTTTAGATTATAATTTAATATGCAAGTCTCAATTTTCTCCCTCCTTTCAGTTATTAATAAGAAAATGTTTATTCTGTATAAAACATACTTCCCATGTCCCTAAAGATACAGGGAATGAAAGCTATTTTGTTGTAAGCCACTCAGATATTCTTCTGTTTGTTTTCCTGCACCAACAAAGATCTCCCTTTTTGCTGGATAATTAACTAGTACAACTAAAAGCAACAGAAACTGTCTTCTACCTAAAACAGAACTACTTTTGCTCTTTTTATCTTTACTAATTGGTGCACTAAGAGACCAGTTTTTACCATCTATAGGCTTTCTGATAATCCACCTCTTATTCTTTTTTGGTGCTCTCAGATTTGAGGAAAAAGGAGATTAAGAACCATTATGTCCACAGCCTGGACACTGACCAGGCAGGGGAAGAGTTGACTGAGATAGAGGTTAGAATTAATGGTCAAGGTTTAGAAACTATTTTCTGATCCTGAAAGAGGCAGTATTTGGTAAGATTCAGATTACTATTTTAAGCCAAGGTTGACCAAAATAAATTTGTTAATATTGTTTAAAGGGAGTCAAGGGCACACCAATCATTAACCACCATGAGTATATTCCTAAATGCAGCACAGAGTATAGGACAGGCATTTAAAAACTTTCATTTTATGGAATAATGTCTCTTTGCTTTCCAAATAACAAAGCCTTCTTACAAAAAAACAGAGGATTCTCTCTCTCCTTAAATCACACTACTCAAGTGTATATTGTGCTATAGCCTTATTTTTTTAATGACGGTATCTGTAATCTAGCTTTTGATATAAACATTAAATGCCTACCTAATATGGGGATCAAAATCAAAGATATTAACATTGCCATAAGATGTGAAATAGAATCCGTTAAAAAGAAAGAGAAGAAGAGAGGTAGGCCAGTAACTAACACAATTCAAAGTAATTCTACATATATCTAAGCCTGGTAGCATGAAGTTTAAACACCAGAACAATGCAGGCAGGATTAGAAAACCTTAGATCCCTGAATTTATGAAGTCTTTACTTTTTTAGTATATTCTCCAAGCAAATACTTGTCAGACCCAATACAAAGACGTAAGGAATGGCAAAGATTTGAAACAAGAAAGGACAAGTATAATACTCATGAGAACAGAAGGTCTTTGATAAACCTCTAACTGCCTTCTGTGTGGCCAAGTGAACAAATGGAAAGATACAATTTAGGGGCTGGTAGAAGGGCTAGAAAGTGCAAAGAATGAAATATGGCTTTCACAAGAGGAAGCTCTGACCAGATTTTTCTTCCCAAGAAAGTCACATAAAACAAGAAATTAAAAAAAAAAAAAAAAAAAAGGTGACAATCCTCTATAACTATTATTTGAGATTAGGGTCAACTGTTTTGCATTTAGACTCATTTCACAAAAACAACAACACTCAAAATATAAATGATCTCCATCTGGCTAATTATTTTCTTTTTATTATTATTATTATTTTTTGTGCATGTACCATCAAATCAGATCTGACTGGTACAGGAAGAAATTGTCCCTCCTTCTCCGGCAGAGCATCTGGTGGATTTGAACCGTGTACCTCTGGGATTGCAGTACAGCTTCTTGCCACTAGGCCACCAGAGCGCCATCTGGCTAATTCTAAAAAAATTTTTTCTACCATCTCAAAAAGAAAAGTAACCAGTAAATGTGTAAATTATACAGCCTTTCCACTAAATGTTCTAAGACATTTTTTTTTTAAAGTGAAGAAAAAAACATAGCTTTTCCATTACTCAGGAAATAAAAAAAGGCACAATCTTGGGATGTTATAGAATTGACTGTTTTAATTAATTTTTCCTTCAGTTGGCTTTGTTTAAGTTATATGGAACAAACAATTCCTCCCATTGATTCTTCCTTTTAAATACCATTTTTGGCACCTTTCATCAAAGTCAAAGCATCAAATCATTAATACTTTACTCTTCTTTGAGGACAGAATTTCATTCCTGTAAACGCTAAATAATTAATCAATTTTTAAATACCTTAATATTTTAACATAAAATAAGACCAGCTTGCATAAATTGATATAAAAATTAAATGTAGAGCTCTTTGTACTATCTAGGCTTCTGAATCCACTCAATAATCTTTTCTAAAGCATTTGTTGCAATGTGAAGGAACATAATCTTAGAGGATAGTAATGAAGAAATGATATTAACATAAAACTCATCACTTTATAATTTTCAAATTTTTTTCTGTGCATCCCTCAATTGGTTCTCAACAACACAGACAAGGCAATTAGTAATCACATTTTGCAGAAAAAGAGATCTAGAAAGATATCCTGACAATCCCTGGGCATTTGTAGAAACATTAGAAAGACCAGTGTCTAAATGGTTATTTATGCTTACCTACTTTCAAAAAACATTATCTGATACAACAGTCTGGTCTTTTTAATGAATTTACCGTTTTTAAAATGAATTCTAACACGGACTTTCTATTGTTTCCCTTGTCAAAGCCATCTAGTGGTAGTTGGGCACTATCCAGTTCTTCTGGTCCCACACGAAAGAGACTATGGTTCTTGTGGACCTCCTTGGCTCCAAACAGAAAGAGATCAGTATTTGGGATGTAGACAGCTCAAAAGCTTTTAAGGCCCCAGACTCACCAAACTAGGATAGAATATTGCCTTTATGAACTACTGTTATGCCAACTGAATCAGATGTTCCCTGAGACTATAATCCTTAGCCGTCAAGCTAAGGCTTGAAGATGTTCCTATGAAATGTTTGGATTGGTTTAAGGAGTTTCCATTTCCTTTGTGCTCTGCTTTATATATATATATATATATATATAGTAGGTATTATGTGCTGTTGAGTTGCCTGAGATTCACAGCGACCCTATGTACAAAAGCCCTACTAAACCTTGCTCTATCCTGTGCCAATCTACACACACACAATTTACATATACATGCAGAAAATACAAATACAATATCATGACGCATACAGTCCCTCACTTGTCCCTTTAGAAGAACTCTTTATGAAGAACGTCTGCAAATGGTCACTTCATTCTGTACAGAAGGCTATCCAGCAGTAAGTGGTCAGAGAATTTTAGAGCAGAACAGAGATCCTTCCAAGGCAGGACTAAGGCAAGGTAATGGATGGGAAACTTGAAGTGACTATTCAGCTTAACAAAGAGAAGGCAAAAACATCACCATGGAAGGCAAGGATAAAAATTCCTTAGATAAGTAATCTGACGAACTAGTTAAGTCAGACTCAGTAAGATGGGGTTATGGTTAATACTTTAAACACCACAATAAAGATGAGATTACTAGTAAGAACATCAAATGTGGAAGAACAGTTTAACTGGCCACTGTCTGTAATCTGTGTGTGAGGATCTGAAATCAGCACTGTGGATAGGAACAGGAAAACGGAAATGAGGAGCCACTGGTCACCGAAAGGGGTAAGCAAAGAGTCTTAAGGTGATGCTAAAGTATTGTTTATGTTTGAGTAATTGAGGGGGAGCCCACAAAACAACAACTTCCCAACGCCCTTTAAGATGACTAAATAGTAATACTGGTGTACTTGACTCTGCAGTATGATTAGGTTTCTTTGCTGTCACCTAAGCTCTTGGCTAGAATCTCTTTCCTGAGTCCCTCTGCCATCGATCGAGCCAAAAAAATCCTTTCAGAGTCTCAGTATATGAAAGAGTGTTAACATATACCGAAGACATACTGAGATGTGGCGTAACACAAAAGCCATACAAAAGAGGAGAAAGAAAAAAAAAAAAAAGAACCCGTCTCTTCTACACGATCGCAAGCTGATCGGATTCCGCGACTCCTGCGGCGGCCTTTCGTCCCTAAAGACTTGTGGGATTCACGTCTCCCCACAAGCGACACGGTCCAGAGCTGAACTGCAAACACTTAGCTCCTTCCTAGGAGTTGCCCCACCCCCCTTCCCCAAGGCCTGGTTCGTGAGTAGAATCCAATTTTTCCGAGGCCCACGACCTACAGGATGGCTCGGCGCAGGCCCGGGCGGCGGAGGCGGGGGCTGCTGGAAGGGCGAGGGGCCAGGGTGGCCAGGGCCATGTCCATCTTCCCCTAGGGGCCCTGCTTCCTAGGGCTGTCCTGCTCGAGGAAAACCGAAAACCGGCACCAAGGCCCCACCACTCCTCCCGGATGTCTCCCTCCCCCGGAAGCGACCAGGCCCGGAGGCACCCCAGTTCCCTTTTCTCACGGCGGAGAAGGGGTCCGGGGGCTAACTGGTCTCGCATTCACACTGCCCCCCTCGAGAAAAAAGCCTGGCTTCCTGCCAGCCTCGTGGGGGGCGTGAGTTACCCGGAGTTGGAAGGCGCCGCTCGCCGCCGGGCGGGGCGGACTGCTGCACGGTCGGTGGTGGGCTCTGCATCTGAAACGGCGGCGGCTCGGCGTCCGGGGACCTGAGGCCCTGCGTGGAGCCGGGCAGAGGAGCGCAGCGCCGCCGCTTCGGGGAGACGGGGCTCAGCAGCGCCGCCTCGAACTCCATGGGCCGCTTCAACGTCGCCCCGCACGCCATGCTGCTTCGGAGCCAAGAACCAGCAGCGGACTCGGCAGTGACTGCAGCCGACCTCTATCTTCTGAGCTGCCCTCGCCAGTCAAGCCGGCTTTAATGGCGCCTCCAGCACCCGGCAGCGGCGCTTGCCCCGCCTCCTGTGACATCATGGGCCCTCGCCACCGTCCGGCTCGATGGGGGGGGGGAGCCGGAAGTGCGTCACCGGCCCGCGGTAACACCTGCCGAGGAAATGGAACGGTCGGGGCGGAGAGCGCGGTTACCAGGCAACCATGGGAAGACCGCCCCCGCCCCTCACAGGGTCCCATCCCCCTCTTCTGAGCCGTCGCGCCTGGGTGGCCGCTTTAGGTTTTCGCACCTGCTCGGCGTGCCTGTGGGGGAGGGGTAGTCTTAGAGGAACCCCGGGCTCGGGTGTCTCTTGGATCCGTAACCGCCTTCAAGGCCATTGTTGACTCCTTGATGAAAAAAAGGGTGATTCTAAAGGTCATCAAAGACAGTCTTTTTACTACGTAATCGGAAATCTGGATTGATTTTAGGAAATGTAGGCACCCCATAAAATCAAATTATGCGTGTTTGAGTGTCTATCTTTTTGAACAGAGGACCTTTATTAGCTCTTGAAGGGGTCTGGCCGCTAAAAGTTCAAACAAACCAAACCCCACATTGACTTAAACCATTATGTTTGGGCTGAAGCTGATAGCTGATGAGTCAGTTTCCTCGTCTGACCTGGCAGTTCAGATCTTACTTCAGGCCTATTGGAATTCTTTAAGGAGATCTGGCGGCGCTACTATTAAAAACATTTGATTGCTATCTGTTCACCAAAAAGATCAGTAGCTGGAAGCAGTCAGCTTTTGTAAAGATTTAAATCCTTCAAAAGCTTATGGGGCAGTGCTGCTCTGTTCTGCAGGAACTCTGTGTGTGGGAATTCACGCCAAGGAAATGGCAGTTCATCTGAATTCCTTACAAGAGTCCGGGCTGTAAAGTGCTTTCTGTATTCTGGAGGAAATGCGCAAATAACAGGGTTTTGCTTTCAGAAACTGTATTGCATTTCTGGGGAGGAAGCAGGTCCAAAAATGGACCAGCAAGTCTAAAAAACCCTTCTGACTTATTGTTGACCCTCCAGTGGGTTTTCAGAGGCTGTAAACCCAGAGAAGATTATCTTTCTTTCTCAGAGAAACTGGTGGGTTCAAACCTTCATCAAAGGTGCCACACCTTTGGGTTAGCAGTGGAACTCCTTACCTCCCAGGCCACTAGAGCTTCCCTATGAAAAGGCATTTAAAAGAAAAATTTCTTATATGGCTACATTTGTAGAGTAAATAGTGACCATGGCTGCAGGATCTTTTTAAAAATATCCCTGGGATTTCCTGGACAGTTCAACGTGCTCCCACATGTGAAAAAGACTTTATTATTAGAAAAGAATCAGTTCATCTAAGGAAAAAGACTATAGATTTTTTAATCCCCTCATGACATTAAAGTATAACAGTAATTTCTGAGCAACCTTATTAGAGAATAGTGAATGATATAAAATCAACTAAGATTTTAATAACAGCAAAAATAAAACTATGATGTATTTTTGTGTCCAGTAAAAGCCAATTACATAGAAATGGAACAAAAGTCCATAAAGATGGCTTCTAGAGTGAAGAAGAAAGCCCCTACCCCACCCAAAAGTGAAGTCAGACAAAAGCCTTAAGGCCAAGAAGGCAGTCCTGAAGGGCATCCACGGCCACCAAAAAAAAAAAAAAAAAATCTGCACATCGCCCACCTTATGGCACTTATGACACCCAGACTCTGAAGGCAGCCCAAATACCCTGGAAAAGCACCCCCAGGAGAAACAAGCTTGACCACTCTGCCATCAAGTTTCCCCTGACCACTGAGTCAGCCATGAAGAAGATAGAAGATAACCGCACACTTGTGTTCATTGTGGATGTTGAAGCCAACAAGCACCAAAACAAGCTAGTAAAAACAAGTAAAGAACAAACAAGTAAAGAAGTTCTGTGATATTGATGTGTCCAAGGTCAACATCTTGATTAGGCCTGATGGAAGAAGGCCTATGTTCAACTTGCTCCTGACTATGATGCTTTGGATGTTGCCAACAAAATTGGGATCATTTAAACTGAGTCTAGCCGGCTAATTCTAAATACAAATTTTTCTCACCATAAAAAAATAAATAAATTGTAAATTGGTAACTATTCATGGTTATTCTTTGAGAGACTTGTCTAATGTGATTCAGGGAAACTGCTTTCTTGTAGTTTAAACTGTTCTACACTTTAAGCGTGGAGGGTTTGCAAAGCATCATCTCTAAAAGCACTTCTAGCTATGACTTTGTGGAGTCTTTTGATAGGCACTCTGTTCTCTATAATCCTTTAAAATCTTGAGCGTGCCTTGTACTATTAGTGCTTTAAAAGAGGAAGTTCTACTTTGTTTATTGACCTATTTGGCTGTGCTTCAAAGCCATAAATTCCTTGAGAATAATAACCAGGCCTCATTCATCTATATTTCCTCATCCCTAACCAGTGCCCAGAATATAGCAGAGGTAGGCATAGAATTTGGAAGCAGAAGTAGCATCCCCTTCCTGAACAACATGCCTCGAGAAACTCTATGAACTTTGATAAAAGTCGATAATTGCAGAGGGTCTTTCAGGCCTTTTGTTCATAGGGTCGCTATAAGTCGAGCATAATTTGACTCAACTCGAAGGCAATCAACAACAACAACAGGCATAGAATAAATATTGGTTAGAGTTGACATAAATAGTAATTATTTCAAGATTATTTGTTCTGCCCCACAAAAAAAATACATAATCCACATTGCTGAATGAGGGGGAATTCAGATAATTCAGAAACCAAATAATCAGATGATATATCCTATTAAATACTTAGGTTGCAATTGACACTGGCCCACCCATAGAGAGATCCGTGAGGGAGGCAGATGGGTAGCTTTGACAGGGTCACTCAGTATACTGTCAACTTAGGAGACCATCAGAGTCCAGGGATGGTTTCTAGCTGGCTTTGCAGTTTCCAGAACTGAACCATTCACACACACAGGCAACTATTATTTATTGTTTTCCAGGTGTCAAGCACTATGCTGTCTGAGTTGAGGTTATTATGGTGTGGGGAAAAAAAGCATAGTTCCTGCCCACCTCAGTCTTCCAGTTTATTAGAGGAGGCAGATACTAATAAAATAATCATAACAAGAAAATATATAGTTACAGACTGTGAAAAATACTATGAAGGAAGAAAATATTTTAAGAAAGCACAAATGAGGTCTTAAAACTTTTTATTCTTAGAACTTTGGTGGAGGCTTCCCTCAAGATGTGATATTAGAGCTAAGAGAGAACAAAATAAGGATTTAATTGAGTAAAGGCAGGGTGGTAGCATCCAGGCAGATGGCATAGCATCTATAGTTGTTGTTAAGTGCTGTTGAGTCATAGACAACTCATAAGCGACCCTATGAATGAAAGACCTGAACACTTGTATAACTTTCATCGTTTCTCCTAGTTCATAGAGTTTCTGGAGGCAAGCTATTTTGGAAGTTGATGCCACTCCTGCTTCCAAGCTTGTTTCAATCAGGGAGCTCCACCAAACACTGTCCACCATGGGTAACCACTATCGTATTTAACACATCAGTGTAGAGGCCTGTAAAATAAGAGACTACAGTGTATTTGAAGAATCAAAACAAGTTCCAAGTGACTGAGGTAGAAAACATGAATGATGAGTCTGGTGAGGAAGGCAGAGACTCGATCATTCATTCAGTGCCCTGTCAGTTCCATGAAATTTTTTTACCTTTATCCTAAGAGCAAATAGGAAGATTTTAAGGAAAGAATGAAAGAATACAATCAAATTTATACTGGAAAACTGTTCTTGCCTACAGTATAGAGAAAATATTGGGGGGCAGCAAGTGGATGGAGATCAGTTAAGAGATTCATTTGTCCAGGTGCATACATTGTTGTTGGTAGGTGCTTTCAAGTTGACGGCGACTCACAGTGACCTGTGAACAACAGATCTGATCTTGCTCTAACTGCACCACCTTCACAGTCTCTGCCATGCTCAAGCCCATTGCAGTAGTCATCACATCAGTCCATCTCGTTGAGGGTCCCCCTCTCTTTCTCTGACCTGCCACCTTTCCCAGCATGATGTCTTTCTCCAAGGACTGGTTCCTCCTGTAAATATGCCCGAAGTAAGTGAAATAAAATGTCATCATCCTTGCCTCTAAAGAGTACTCTGGTTGCACTTCCTTCAAGATAAACGTTCTCTTGACGGTGCATGGGATATTCAGTACTCTTTTAACATCACTATTTAAAGACATCAATTCTTCTTGTGTCTTCTTTACTTATTTGTCCAACTTTCAGATGCAGAGGAAGCAACTGAAAATTCCAAGGCTTGGGTTAGGAGCACCTTAGACTCTAAACTGACATCCTTGCATACTGTAGTAGTCAACAATTCATTGCCATTGAGTTGGAACTCTTAGCTGACTCTTCAGAGAGTTTTCAGAGGCTGTAGATCACATGGGAAGAAATTTCCCATCTTCCTCCCTCAGAGCAGCTGATGGATTCGAACCAACTACCTTTAGGTTGGCACCACAATTCTTTACCCAGTAGGCCACCATTAGTCCTATAATATAGCAAAGAACGTCCCACCTCCCTGCACACTGATCCTTTCATTTCCCTAACTAGGGTTTGTATGCATATGATAGCTCACCCTGAGAAAGCCCAACAAGGAGTCTGAAGCTTTGTCTATTTGCTAGTGCCAGCAGTTGCCTGATCCTGGAAAAATGATTGGGTTAGAGTTGAATTGAGAATGAAAATCTCAGATTCTTTGAACAATGGGTCTGTCTCTATTTGCCATATTATCTTCTTATGTACTTCACAACCTATTCACCAACTCATGGTCATCTGGCTTCTCTCCCTTCCAGCCCAAGAAAACAGGTCATCACGAATGACCACCATGTTGAAGTGGAAGTAGATAAGAGCAAAGTTCAAGAGATGAAGTCAACAAATCTTGGTGAAGATTAGGAATGAGATGAGGCAGATGAAAGACTTACGTGTGATTCCTAGGAATCTGGCTTTCTTGATGACATATTCTGAAAAATTTTACATTGGAAAAAGACC